ATATATACACATATGTATGTATTGTTTTGGCCACAAAGTAACAAATGATGTCAGCCACACTCCCAGTAAAACACGCTTTTAGTTTAAGTTTTGGGAGGAATGGTTTAACATAAATATTTTTTTACGAGTGGACCAAAGGTAATTTTTGCTTTTTGCTTTAAAAGTCGTACCTCCATGGTGTGAGTCTTCCCAGAGGAGGTTTGTCCGTAAGCAAAGATAGTGCCATTGTATCCACTGAGCACATCTGTAAACAAAACAAACAAACAAAAAAAAAACAAGATGTTTCACATAAACTCCACAAACTTTACATTAAAGATTTATATTTAGTATATTTATTGTTTTTGAGCGTACCCTTCACGATCTGCTTGGCGCAGGTGTTGTAAACTTGCTCCTGAGTGGTGTTGGTTGGAAACACTCGATCGAACGCGTACGACTTCCCCTGAAACGAAAGGTAAACAACAACAAACTATTAAAATGCTACTGATGAGAGAAATAAGGGTTAGGGTTAATAAAAGTAGCATTAAATCTAACATGTTTTTAATTTATTTAAGATGTGTGTGTTTAACTAAACAATTAAACACCTTCATAATCTCTAGAGGTATTTTTAAAAAGCTGTATTTTTCAGAACAAACAACCATCGGTGTGGTATTTTAGTGATGAAATCTATGACTCATTAAAACATCTGATGCTTGATAGTGACTCATTTTTATTTTCCTGAACAATATACTCTTTTAAATGAATCATTTTCAGGTGATTGTTATTATTTATTTCTATTTTCACAGCATGATAAATGTCTTGTAAACTATAACATTTATGTAAATATGCAAATTAAAGAGACAACATTAGCAGTCAGAAAAATATGGTGTTTTATGTTTGTTTTTACATCAGAGTTGTGTTTCAGCCTCAGGTGACCAAGTCTATTAAAGTTCTTTGTTTCTGTTTCTAACAATATATCAAATGTGTGAAAAGTTTGAAGAAAACCAGACTTTTTCATTATTAACTTTGTATCCAGTAAGGTGCTATAAACTGACTACAGGTGTAAATAACAGGTGCTATTTTTCACAAAGGTTTCTTAAAACCAGAAATACATTTTTAAACTTTTCCAGGACAATGTACTTTTTATTTGCCAAGACTTCATTAAAAACACACAAAATGTTTAAAGCTAAGTTAGCATAGGCCTGTTCAAAGCAAATTTTGTTAAGCAAACTTAAGCTCATTCAGTCTATTTTATTTTTTTATACAGCACACAAAAGCTAAAATGCAAATAGGCGTAACTTTTACAGATCTGTGTTTAGTCAGCCACATTCACAGTCAATAATTTCAACATTTAAATATGCATAAATGCCTCAAAACAAGTTCTGATACAACTTTTTCACTTCCGATACATTATTGCATCCTTGAGTTTTGGCCAATATCGATACCTGATATGATATCAGAAAGAATACTACATACTTTTATTATTTATTTGGTAGTGTGGAATCATAAAAAGTCCTGATCAAGTCAAATAGTGAACAATAACAACAGTAGGCATGAGGAAAAGCAGACCCATTTATAATAGAGATGCACGATATATCAGCATTAACATCGGTATCAGTCGATATTGGTCATTTTCTTATGGTATCGAAAAAGACACAAGTGTATTTGTGTGTATGTATATATAAATAATTTGTGTATTTGTGTGTATGTATATATAAATAATTTGTGTATTTGTGTGTATGTATATATAAATAATTTGTGTATTTGTGTGTATGTATATATAAATAATTTGTGTATTTGTGTGTATGTATATATAAATAATTTGTGTATTTGTGTGTATGTATATATAAATAATTTGTGTATTTGTGTGTATGTATATATAAATAATTTGTGTATTTGTGTGTATGTATATATAAATAATTTGTGTATTTGTGTGTATGTATATATAAATAATTTGTGTATTTGTGTGTATGTATATATAAATAATTTGTGTGTTTGTGTAATATAGGTAAATATTGGTTATCGGTCATAACAGCAATCGGATATTGATATCGGCTGAAATCTTCATATTTTTGCATCCTTAATTTATAAGTAATCTATGGGTTACATATATTTATAACTTAATCATATAATAGTTAAACAAATTAAAGTCAAATAAATTATTTACCGTTATTTAAGCAGGCAAGACCCGATGAGATCTCAGATCTCTTTTTCAAGGGAGGCCTGGAGGCAACCTATTGTTCCTGTTTTCAGGGGTGAGGGAAACCAGAGGTCCGAACTGGGGATTGAACCCAGGACTTGCTGTGAGGCGTTCGTGCTAAACACTGAACATTCGTGCCGCTCTATTTGTTTTTGAATAACAAATAAAATAGGAAACTCTAAAATATTACCTCAATGAGGCCGATAAAAACATATTTTTAAAGTGTAAAATAAAATTTATTCTGGGTCTAAAAGCTTCTGGATATAATTTCTGGAATGGACTACTTGTATCAGAGAATTTATACAGCAGATTTTAGACATATGCTGATATAATCTGATAATCGTGTTTTGGCTAACATCCCACTGATATCCAAGATTAATATCAGATCAGAACACCACTAACAATTACTAAATTTTAAATGCAAAAATTTGAGCCTTATTTGCTTAGTCAGGCAAGTACTGAAATCAAATGTTTGCCGATGTATTCAGCGTCTGATCAAATGTGTTTTAAAAGCTAAATTAAGTGTTTAAATATGTATTAAAATAAAACAATAACGCTGCAAAATGGAATATTTTTGTTTGCCTCGCTTGGTTTGTATTAAATCCGGTCCCTGAAGGTAACATTATGTCTTCAGCATCATTACAGTAACTCCTGAGTGTCTCATCGTGAGGGAAAATAACGTCAGCTGCCAGAAACTGAGCTGGACTAATTCTCATTAGCAAATTGATTCATCTGCAGACCGCCTCCACGCCAGAGTGATTTACAGAGACGTTTAGTCTCAGAATGAGAGGAAGAGGAGGGAGAAAAGAGGAATTCAAAAAGGAGACAGGAGACAAGATAAGGAAACAAAAATCAGAAAGGAAACAAGAACAGAAAACACCACAGGAGAGGAAAAAGAGAACAAACGAAAAACTATAAAGGAAGACAGGAGCCAGAGATAAGAGAAACCAGGTCAGTAAGTGATGATTATTGATCTTCAAGCAATTAGAGAGATCAGTTTCTGACTGTGCTGCTCAGAGGCAGGAGGAGGAGGAGGAGGAGGAGGAGGAAGGTCAGGAGATGTCTGCAGCATCAGACAGTTCCCTCTGTTCCTGTATAAAACCATCTGACATATTTAGTCCTCAATTTTTTTTGTTCAAATCATTTAAAAAACCTGAGAGTTGAGATTAAAACATCTGTTGGACAAACAGAAATTAAATAATTTAATTTTTCAGTTTTAACAGCAGTTCTTGCTTTAAAAGATGGTGAAATTGACAAATGAGTTATTTATTCTGCTGAGACTGAAGACTGATGTTTATGATCTCAAAAATCAACTTTGTTTTCTTTAAAATCTCAAAGAAGCAATTCAGACATTTTTTATTAAAATTATAAAACTAAGCTGCATCCTTTAAAAAAGCTATTTTCTGTACATG